TACCAAATTAACGGGTTACATGTAGTCTGGACCGCAGCAATGCGCCTGAACGCAAATCAAAATCGGCTTCAAGCCAGCATTAAGGCGAGCATAAAAGAAAAGTGAAAAGGTATCATAAAGTATTACAATGAGGACTGGCTCCCAAGAATCAACTAAGTACTAAACACAATGCAGCTAACGTTATGAAAAACTTATATAAAGCCGTAAGTGGCTAATGAAATCCCTGTAAAACGTTGAGAGCAATAGGGCAGGCTGAAATACAACCCATACAATACCACTGACAACCGCCTCTCGCGAGTCCCCAGTCCCTTCCGTCAAGAACCAAGGCAACCATAAATCTAAGGACCGTAAAATGCCAGGGCGAGCAAGAGGCAAGGCAAAAAACCGGCTGAACATCCCACGCGCATACATCTGGTAAACAGCGTCGCCGAACGCAAACAATAACTCCAGCAGAACAAGAGTGAGCGCGTCTCCGTTTACCTTAGAAATTAATTATTCAGCCCAAATCAAAGAGGGAGAAGGAAAGGGGAAAAGGGAAGGTCACCTGTTAGGGACAGGCCGTGGATGGCCGAATAAGTAGCTAGCAAAAGCTTCAACACATCATGGAGTAGGAGCATATAGTTATTCATTTAGGTACTCCAATGGATAAGAATCAATTAAATCATATAAGATCAATCCGGCATCACTGAGGTGAATCATTGAGGCATTTAAGACCTCGAGAAATCAAATCAGGTCACCCCCAGCCCTTCCCTAAAATTCCCCGAGACCTAAACAGAAGTTAATTAATTAAAATACGGTTAAAGAATACGAGGCAGCTTGAAATGTGCACTGAACAAGTCATTGGCTTATAAAATTAATCAGCGGGGGGTGGGGGGTCCTACCCCCGGAAGTATTGTTTTGTTCCAGCATGTCCTTGGACAACAATCCGCAACACCGCCATCGGTCGTGTCAAAATTACCAAATTAGAGCCGGAAGAAGCGAACGAATAAATAAGATAAACTCTCAATCAGGAACGCAGCAGTAACTATTCCACGATTATATAGACAGACAACACCAGTCGCTAGAATAAAAGATCTCTCCTTAAATCATACACCCTCAAGCAGTCAGTACATTCAGCTTAGATTGGTATTAAATCATAAACTCATTACTCGCGCGATGAAGGGCCATGCATCCGCGGAAGGATACGATTGCCATAGGAGCGGGCCGAAAGGAAGGGGAAGGATGTGCCCTCCCCAGCCAACCAATTCCCACTCCCTCCTTCCCGCGTGTCACACGGACCTGCGCAGATCGTACGAGAACATGCACCACCCAGCCAATGAGCGCGTCACCGCATCCGCCAATCACCGGCCATCCCAGTCAAAATTCACTCCCCTACAAAAGTCACAGAAGCGATTGCTACAACCCCGTTGAAAGGTAGTTCGCTCACCCGGCTCACTCACTCGTCATCCATCGTCCAGTTCGCTCAGTCAGTTAGACCAACAAGACAACAGGAACAGGAAGCTGCGGAATACAAACGTCAGTTCGCCGAAGGTAGGTAAACCAATCATAACTCGGCCATCGGCTCTTTGAACTATCAAGTCGAGGATCAATAAGTAACTAATTAACACTATCATGTCAGACATCAGAGTCCGCCGTTCCTCCATTTTTTTTTTTTTTTTTTTTTTTTTTCCTTCCCTTTTTTTTTTTTTTTTTTTTTTTTTCTTTCTTTCCTTCCCCTTTTCCCCTTTTCCTTTTTTTCCTTTTCTTCCCTTCCTCCCTTTTTTCTTTTTTTTTTTCCCCCTTTCCCCCTTTTTTCTCTTTTTTTTTTTCCCTTTCCCTTTCTTTCCCTTTCTTTCCTTTTTTTTTTTTTTTTTTTTTTTTTTTTTCTTTTCTCTTTTTTCTCTTCCTTTTCTTTCTTTTTCCTTTTTTTTTTCCCCTTCTTTCCCTTCTTCTTTTTAAAATATAAATATATATATATAAACCAGTAGGCAAGCGATAATCAGTGATAATAAGCTAACCCACCTTATCCCATTCTGAATTTAAAACTTTACCCAGTCTAATTCAATCATGCAACAGCTAGCAGGAGAAGGAGAAAAACAAAAGCAGGGCAGAACAACCCGCCACAGTTGCCAGCCTATAGTGGCCGACTCCAGCTGGAGCAAAGTGTCCCGAGGAGGAAAGAGGCTCAATCCGGTAAGAAAGTTCGTCTCAATCCGACAAAGCACCGGGTGCACCAAGTGAAAGTACAAGTGAAAATAAAGTGAAACGATGGTGCTCTTGCCACAAAAATAATAATAAGATAATAAAATAAGATAAATGGCAATAAGTGAACGTAATATAAACAACAAAATAAATACGTGAATTGGCAGGTCCGCTACCAGCTGAATCAACTGTGCCCCGCGAAAGCATCATGGAGAGCCTGAAGGAGGATCTCCTGTCCGCGATCAACGAATCGAACGAGGGGGAGTCTAGCTCCGCAGCAGGAGCAAGTGCCGGAGCTTCATGCTCCATTCCCGCAAGAGATAAGGACCAGAAGATTTTGGTGGATCCGAATGTGAGTACGACTCAGACAATCCTAACATCGCCCGCATATAAGATATATTAGAGCATCAGTTCCATTCGCTCCACCCCCTTAATTTTTAAATAAATGCATGCAATTGAACAACTTCAAGTCCAGAATTAAGTTAAATAATCGAATTAAAGAGGATAGTTATATAGATTAAAGCAGAGCTGAAAACACGACACCGAGATCAGGTTTCATGTCGTCAGTAAATTGGAATTAAATCACGGTTCAAAATCAACCGATTCGACGTTAGATTATAAGATTGAATCAAAGTCGCAGCAAAATAAGATCAAATAAAGATAAAGACGTTAATATTATTATTATTCATAATTAATTAATTAAAATTGTTAGATTACAAATTTAGGTTTTAAATTGGTCGATCGAGTACAATTAAAGCCAATCAAGCCAAGCCAGACTCAAAATAAAAGTGGATAAGGATTGAATCAAATTCAAAATTTAAACTGAATATAGTTAGGCCAGTCAGGATGTCGGTCAAAATAAAGTTGAATCCAGCTTAACCAGCCTGAACTTAGAATCAAATGAGAGTCATAGTATCAGAATCGGTTCTCGATCAGAGAAAATCAGAATCCAATCGACATCAGCATCAGCATGATAAGCACTCAAACATTAGTAAAACTAGATTTTGAAACAACAGAATTAGGGGCAAGATACTTGGTTACGATAGATCAAGGTTAACCAGCGCAAAGTTAATCGAAAGAGGATAATAGGTGTTAGGCCAATGCCATAAACATTAATACCCGTAGCACATATCATAAATGCATCCCTCAATAACAACCAATTCCCTTCTAATAATTGCTCAATAATTACAGCAACTGGACGCAGTCATCTCCGGATCCGTCGAGAGGGCAGTAACCGCCCGCCTGGAGCGGATCCAGAGGGAAACAATGCGCCACGCGGCAGCGGTAGTGCATCTCAGTCAAGCCTCAACCAGGCGACGAAGCCAGTATCGGTGGGTCCGTCACGATCAAGGGCCGAGACAGACAAGACCGACCCCAGCACCGCCAACCAGCCATGCTCAACCACCTCCTTTAATGGAGGTGAACACAGGGGTGCCAAACCGGCGAGGGACACCCAGAGAGGACCGCGCCTCGTTTACTCCGAACCACCCTCCGATCTACCCTGGCCACCGACGTCAACAGCAGCAACAGTACAGTCAATCGTCCCATTTACCGTATACACCCCCAAATCCGCACCCAGTATTCCTATATTATCCCAGTTCGCCACACCCTCCCATAGTTCACCACCAATACAACCCGTATCAACCACCATACCCACCCCAATATCCTTCCACCTTCCCGTATCTGCCGCACCCGTACTAGCAAGTAAATAAAGTAGTATAGGCTAGTATAAGTCAGTTAGTTAAGATAGGGCTAAGTTAGAAATTAATTCGTTTGTTTGTTTTTGCTGTTTGATTAAAGTTGAAGTTGAAGTATATGCACATACCAGCGTACCATCCATTTAATATCTACAGTTTACTGATTTAATATAGATATAAGATAGTAATGTAGTAATGTATCCCCAACTACATGTAAGAATATAAATTAATAAATGTAAGTAAATAAATGTGAATATAAGCATAAATATAAAACCGAACGATGTAATCTCTAACTGCCCCAACACCTAGCCACCTCTCAAAGTAACATACCGTATATACGTGACGTGAGACAGATATACAGACGAGTAGACGGTCAACATAATCAGCCATCCGAGCACTGTCTCAATTCACATCATTGCTGGCTCGCATGACAGAGCCAATTTATTAAACTCAAAAAACATTGCAGTAGCTCTCCGAGCTCGTACCAGGCTGTAGACAGCACTAATGCACAGATAATAATAAATAAATAAAATTAAACTTAAACTCAGATTTGGACTTAAATAAGTCCAAATAGAACAATAAATAAATGAAATAATAAATAAATAAGTAGATATGCTGTCGTGAGCTTCGCCCGTCCAACATAACATCGCTACACTAAGCAACACAGCCATATAAAGATGCAAGTTCGTAACGCCGGAACATTGCAGAAGTATTCAAAGGCAATCGTGAAAGAAGGTGACTCGCTCACGAAACAACGTCAGGCATTACCCGCGATGATCATATCGCCCAGTTAGCAGATATTAAACGACCCTAGCAGCAAAAGAAAAGAATACCAAAACACGAATTCGAGCCAAGTCCGTGCTTTATGATTTCCAGTAAACATTACTCTCCTCAAACCATACTAATGTCGTAAGTATACCCAAAACTTCACGCTGGTAAGCTGCATACATAAGACGAATAAGAGATATAAAAATAATGAGAATCTAAATCAATCACCCGGTTCCCGAACAATCGATCAAACCGGATATGAAACAGCCATATCGAATCTAATCGAAAGTCGAAGTCGAACCATGCTTCCAGCAACAACCACGAGAGTGTGCGAGCATCGCAGAGATGCACAAATAGAAATAGGTGCACCACATACGTCAGAATTGCTGTTATTTGAAACTTGAAGTATTAAACCCTCGATTAATTAAATCAATAGTTAAGTAAATAATTAGTCCTATATCCGGGATTTAAATAACAAATGCCCTGCTAAAAGAAGGATTGATCCGACGACAAGAGGTAAGTTTAAAATATGTTAGGTTAACCAAGGTAGCCAGATAACCAGGACAATTAACTAAGTTTCAAGATAGACAACCAAGCATCCCGTGCAATCGTGCAATCATAGTGTCAATACAGAAGGAATCGGCAAGAAAGTCCTAGCCCGGTAAATAATAATATATCAGCTCTGAAAAGAATTTATAGATGCAGGACGCAGCAGAAACCAGAAGGCTTATTAGCTGAGCGATGGGGTGCACCTAGCCTACACCCAAATTTAACCATGCGTGTACTTGCATATTTACGCATGCGCGTGTACAACACACACATAATCATAATCACATAATCATCAATCAGGTAATGAGAACTGCGGACAGCTATCGTACTTCAAAAGGGACAATGATGATATGCCAACATACAATCATGAAGGTAAGAATGACAAGACAGTCTAGCACATAGAATCAAATATCAACCCTAGAATTCACACCCAAATCCTCTCAGAATACCATTAATAATCAGTAGTCAAAATGCGTCAAGAAAACACACATTTACCAACAATTAAATTATCAGAAGCAGAGAACCAGAGGACAGAACAAATAATAAGCGGAACGAGCAACCAAATCATCAAGAGAATAAAGGGAGAGGGAACTTAACGTATTAACCATAGACATCCATCGCCCGGCTCTGCAGAATGGATATTCACCAATCCAGCCATCAACATTTATCTCAAAATTTAGATAAGATAAAGAGTAAGTGAATGAAATAAATAACATAACCTCCATCCCCAGAAAGAAGATCCGTTTGTTAAAAGAGAAGAGAATGGAGTGCTACAGAATCAAGAAGCCAGGAATGGTGTGCGTAATAGTGCACCATAGCAATGCCTCAGAGTAAGTGAAGAGGGGAGGTCGCGTAGATCACCGTCCCATAATTTAAGCGAGGATCTCAAGACCAAAACCAAAAGCTGTCCGAACATACTGGTAAGAGAAAAGGCATCGTCAAAGGGTAGGGGATAGGTAATTAAGCAAATACTAGAGCAAATTAAATTGTGGCTTTCATCAAAAGAGCCAGGGGGTTAACATAACTGCTACAAGAAGTGTATTGGTGGTAAATATAACAGCAGTGAGGATAAGTTTACAGAATACGGGTGCAAGCTATAGGCCTTAAAGGGTGCATTAATATCAACCCTAAACCATATCATAGCCCCCGCCAATCCTCAGCAACCATACTACACGGCCAAGAAGAAAGGGAGGCAACGGTCCGCCACCGCAGGTGCGCGGTCCCCGGAAGCGGTCCGCCCACCGGCCACGAAGAGGGCCACAAGGCATGTCATACAACAACCAATTAATGGACAGCAGCCCCACCCGTGCGCCAATCTGAGCCATCGAGCGGCCCGCGACAACCCAAGCCATGATAATGGCCTGGAGCAGCGGACAGAAATCCCCCGTGCACCAGAATAATACCAAGAAGTAGCATGACAACAGAACCGATGGCAAGTATGGATGCGAATACGACCATGATTCAAGGCCCATAATACTGCACTACCACCCGGGTGATTGCCAAAGCACTACTTATCCGGTTGAATAAAATTACAGGGCTAGTTGGAACGAGGAGAATACTTACAGATAGGATTATCTCTAAGATATATACAGCGTTGGTAAACCAATAACTAAATATTAAGAACAGACAAATGTACTAGGAGCTACGGGTAAGGGAGGAAGCTAATGGAGCGAAAGAAAGGAAAGAAGGAACAGGGAAGTTCAAGTGAGAATATACATACCCATACATACATATATACACCTACATACTTATACAAGAACATTCACACCGAAGGGATCTGTCCACGACTACCACCAACCGAATCCAGGCTTCATACAATGCAGTCAGCAATCAAACAGGGGAGAGTGAAGCGTTCTGCTAGGCGACTGATCAAACGATATGATACTAAAACCCCCAAGTGCGCACATGCGCAGGCAGAAAGGTTGCAGGGACTAAGTTCCTTGGTACAAATAAGCAGATAAATAATCCACAACTCAATTACCCGGCTAATCGAAAGCATAATGCGAGGTAATGTAGGTTACCTAGACCAAGCAACGAAAAGGGGGCATGATGGAGGTAGGTTTAATCTATCCATTTAATATATCAATTAAGTAGTCAATCAATTCCCCAATGGAGTAAGCCATGTTATGTGGTCATTGCAGGACCAGAAGCCATGCAACAAAATCGTCCCAGCAAAGAGGGCGATACACCACCTCAGCAGAGAATCAGTACCATGCAAGAATGCGTGTATTAACATATAGTAGATCATCAATAAAGACATGCAATCAGGAGTGTAGAGAGCTTACTTATATCCACAATGAAGTTCCCGCTCCCCCATCGTGTGTTCGAATTAAATTAATTAAACGTCAACTAAGCATATTGCTTAAAATATCTAAGCACCTCGTACATTAAGCAATTATGACAAGCCTAGCATAAGAAACGCGTAGTAAGAATAAAGGTAATATTAAGTTAGAATTGATAATTAATAATAGGCAGGCAGACCCTTAATTAAGAGCGAGGGAAAAAAGTACGTCAGGAGCTAGGCCAGGTTCGCAACATACACCGCTTGTCACGCCCAGCTCTCCCACCACCACGACTAAAGCCGTTGCGCCGGCCAATCCCTTCTCAGGAAGGGACAAAGCAGCGCACATCGTCCATATTGCTAACTTCAGTGGTCATAATCCATTGATCCGCTGTGAAGGAACGTTAACTGGATTAAACCGAGCATCACAGCCTTAAGCCTGTCTCAAGTAAGTACATTGACAGAGTAATCAATATCATCAATTAGTCGTTAGTGATCAAGCCACAACCAGCAACAGATAACCCGCATGTTATATCCCTAATATATTACAGCATTCTAGTCCCAATGTAATTCAGCTTGCTCGCCTAACCTGGCTTAATAACGTAAATACCTGGCTTAATAACGTAAATAATATTCATGGGACCAAAAGCACAAAATACTAACATTCTCATATCGAATAGGAGCCACGTCGAAAAGTTACCCATAGAAAAGGGAAACCCAAAAGACAAAGAGAAGTAAAGGCAAAACAAGAACGCAAAATAATAGAAAGAAAATAGAAGTTCTTATCCCGGTAATAGGTAAGCTAATAAGTAACTAAAATCTACTTGAAATCATTAATTAATTAGACATGATCATCACGGTTAGCCCACGTGGAACGTAGAGAACCAAGTATGATAAATAAGAAGCATGCACAACAGATCGTTAACACAAACTAGAACTAATACCATCCCTTTGATTGACAGGGAAAAAGATGTCCGCCTTTACAATACTGCAAGCTAACCTAAACCATTGCCGCGCAGCCCAGGACATACTTTGGCAGGCCGTACACGACTACCGTGCTGACATCGTAGTAATCAGCGAGCCATACCGTCCCCTGCCAGAATGGCATACAGACCCGAGCGGCACTCTGAGCATGTGGTGCGTGCAGCGAACACCACCAACCGCCGAGCTGGGCATGATACGTAAGATACACGCCTCAGACGGCTGTGTTGGCCTAGAAACTCGCGATTTTGTCATATTAGGTTGCTACTTTTCCCCCTCTCTGACATTAGCCACCTACGAAGGCCAACTAGATAACCTAGCAGCAGGAATCGCGTTGTCCCCCAAGCCCACAATAATATCCGGGGATTTTAACGCGCGTTCCGTACAATGGGGCTCTGATCGCACCGATGCCCGCGGATATCGGTTACTCCGCGTCTGCGAACAAACGGGTCTGATCCCCGTGAATAGTAAGGGAGGCCCCTCCTTTGTCCGGAATCATCAGCAATCGCGGATTGACACGATGGCGTGCAACCATGCGTTAAGGTCTCGCCTAAAAAACTCCTTTGTTTCCAGAAAATACACCGGTTCGGATCATAATTATCTAATACACCGATTTGCCGCCACTCACGCCTTCGAATCTTCCTCTATGAACTCCGCATGGAATATACGGTATAGTCCTCCCGACAAAGAAGCATGGGCTTCAGTAATTACAAGCAACCTGTCCCTGCCGCCAGAAACAGAATCCTGGATTCGCGAACGAACCATTTTTGTATTTGAGAATACCGCCAGCATAGACGCTGCTATAGCAGAACTAGAATCGTGGTATGAATCAGCGCGCATACCACGATCCGATAGCTCCACCAGGAAAAGAAGATACGTGACCTGGTGGAGCCAGGAGATATCTACACTAAGATTGAACGCGGCGCGATCACGTGCGAAGTGGCGGCGCGCAGCCACCCGTCTGTCAAAAAATAATAACGGTAATACATCGATCAATTCTCAACACCCTTTACACCAACAAATGGTATCCGATCGCCGCGCACTGATTAAAGTTATTCGGCAAGGCAAGGACGCCTCGTGGGCCGAGATGATAAACGAAGTAGCTCGTGATCCATGGGGAAAGCCCTATAAAAAGGTAATGAGTCGATTAAAAGAAAGAGGCCCTCCAATACGCTTAAGCGAAGCCGAGTTTAAAACCGCCGTGACTCAGCTGTTCGTAACCGAGCCACCGATTACAACCGGGTCCGCTCCGACATCCGTAACCGCAAACACTGCCAATTTAACGAGCACGGCAATCCTTACCCCTATCGTTCAGAACCGATCGCCCAGCCCACAACCCGGGCCCAGTCGCGCCACCCCGAGTCAGCCCATCCCAACAAGCTCAGCTGCCCAATTTTTAGCGAACCATTCAGGAACAGCAGACAATGCCCGCCCAGCCTCTGCAGTCGCGGGACCAGTTCTCAGAGAAGCCCCCGCAGATCCGTGTATCCCTTACCCATTCAGCGCGCGCGATGTCGCCAAGGCCCTCGCTAAAGTGTCCCAAGGAAAAGCACCCGGACGCGACGGGATAACCGGGGAAGCCCTTCGTCCCATTTACCGATTAGCCCCTGAGTGGGTACGCGATTTATTTAACGCATGCTACCGTTTGGGATACTTCCCGAAATCATGGAAGGTAGGCCGCTTAGTTCTCATACCTAAACCCGGGAAACCTTTCAACTCATATTCCGATCTACGCCCCCTCTGCATGTTATCGAACCTCGGCAAAGGTTTCGAATACGCCCTACGTGAACTTCTGGAAGAGGCCGTCCAGAATTCCGGTGACTTATCCCCTTGGCAGTTTGGCTTTCGCAAGAAACGATCTACAATGCAAGCCATGAATGTAGTTATTTCTGAATGGAATCGTGCCCGCCAATATGCGTATCACTGTCTATTGATTGGTCTAGATGTGAAAAACGCATTTAACACCGTTCGTTGGGAAAATATAATACAGGCAGCCCGTCGCCGCAACTTTCCATCCCCCCTAATTGCAATGCTGCAAAATTATCTCAGTAGCCGATACATCGGTACCACCATGCCAGACGGCACGTGGATAGAGCAAGAGGTATTTGCCGGTGTTCCCCAAGGGTCGGTATTAGGACCGCTCCTGTGGAACTTAGCTTACGACTCGATTCTAGAAGTCGTGTTACCCCATAACGTAAAGACCATAGCCTTCGCAGATGACCTTGTCCTAATTATTTTAGCTAAATTGGCCCAGATACGTGAAATAGCCGAAGAGGCACTCCGACGACTCAGTGCTTGGTATCTCCAGAACGGGCTATCCCTTGCGACGCACAAAACCGAGGCAATCCTCCTAACAGGTCGCAGAGTACCCGCCGGTCTGACTCTGCAGCACGAATCCTCCATAATAAGGACCATCTCCTCGATGCGATATTTAGGCGTATTATTTAATAACAATCGAACATTCCGCAGTCATATACTAAAGGTCACTAACAAAGCCACAAAAGTAGCCCAACACCTATCCTGGCTCATGCCCAATGTGCGCGGAGGAGGATATGGCCCCCGTATGCTTTATTATCGCGTCATGGAGTCGATCGTGCTGTACGCCGCGCCGGTATGGCATGAGGCTATGAAGTACAAGAACATGGCGCGCCTTGTCTTGCCAACTCAGAAACTCGGCTTAATACGCGTCGCCCGCTCGTATCGGACTGTATCATACGATGCTCTAACAGTTCTGACCGGTTGCTTGCCCTGGCACCTAGTAATACACGTACGCCAGAGGCTTTTTGGTTTTGAAGCCGAGACGATTGACGAATATAATGAATATATAAACGCCGTGAAAAGAGAGACTTATGCCGTCTGGCAACGACACTGGGACAATACCCGCTATGGCGCATGGACTCGCCGCCTGGTCCCCAACATAGAGGAGTGGGTAAGAGGGAAAGGACCACTACATTTAAACTATTACCTAACCCAAGTCTTAACCAACCATGGGTGTTTCTCCTCTTTTTTGTATAGAATCAAGCGCGCCAGCACCCCAAACTGTTGGTTCTGCAATCCTCCTGTAATAGATGATGCAGAACACACCGTGTTTCATTGCGAGCGATGGGCTGGAGAACGCGCACGCGTAATCATGGAAGTAGGGGTATTATACCCAGAAACCTTAGT